TCTCTCTCTCTCTCTCTCTCTCTCTCTCTCTCTCTCTCTTTGATTATTAGCAAAAACTTCCAAAGAAGAGTCTGGATGAAGTTACTGACATTTCACAGGGTGCAAGGGTAGACTCTGTCACCTTGAAGATGATACTATAAGATGCAGGTAGTTAGGTGTGGTGGTGCACACCTGTAATCCCAGTGACTTGGGAGGATAGGGCAGGAGGGTTTCAAGTTCAAAGCTTTATAGCAACACCCTGTTTCAAAATAAAAAGGGCCAGGGAAATGCCTCAGTAGTAAAGCATTCCTGGGTTCAATCCCTGGTAACTAAAAAAAAAAAAAAAAAAAAAAAAAAAAGGCATGGGTAGATCATGCTTCAGGCAGTTTAAAATATAATCTTGTATTCTGAAGGTGACTATTAGCTAATTGGAAAATAGAGACACTAATAAAGATATGTTTAATTCTCCCTCACTTTCTATTTACCAACCCAGTATCTCTGTGATTGTGCATATTCTGCAATTAGCTTTGCTAGTGCAGACTTGGAATGAAAATCAAGGTCTTAAACAATACTTTGGTTAATTGGACAAACATGCACGTGTAATTCTCTTTGGTCATCTTGAACTTCACAAATGCAGTGAGATGCTTGAAATGCATTGATGATCATCACAAATCAGGCAATGATTTTTCACAGATCTATTTTTTTAACTATGAAAACAAAGGTAAGAGGGTACTGGAGGGTTAAGTTTTGAGTCCCCATCAAATCACTGTAATCTGACCCTAGTTCACAAATGTCTACAATGCCAAAAGTTTCTTGGTGAAACACAACTCACTGTAAATTCTGATTACATTTCCTATTCCCTTCCAAAAAAACAGAAAGGAAATTAGGTTATATTTGATTACATTACAAAAAATCTAGTCAGTGTCTGGGCAGTCATTGCCATGTCAGAAGCCAAATGTACACATTGTACAGGGGTAGGATCTGGGCTGCTGGGCTGCTGGGCTCTGGCACACGGGCCTGTGTCCTGATTTTTTAGTAGATCAATTTGTAAGCATCAGGAGATAGTTAAATGCCAATGTACCTATGTGTTTTCATTATGAACAAAAATTTTTTGTTTATGTGAAATAAATGGAAAATTACATCCCTTGAAACTTGAGTACACTTACAGCATTGTTACCAATTACAATATATTAGGTTTCTTAAACTTCATTCAATGACGCCAAGTCTATATGGGTGGAGCAAAGAATACAAATGATCTACTTCAGTAATTCTCAATCATTTTTGGTTTGTAGTCCACTTAGTGTAGTAGAACAGTAGAAATTTTAATTTCTCAAATGAATTTTGCATAAAAATCATCTAAGATTTTGTTCAAATGAAGATTCTTGCTAAGATTGAGCTGGTCCATGAACCACATTTAAACAGCAGGAAGAACAGACCATGTGGCCTCTTTATCTGTCCTATGTTGTTCAGTTTAATTAATAGGCAAATGTGAGCTGTTTACAATAAACATAAACAAGGCAATGCCTGATTTTTATATTCTATTATTAGCTCATATTGCAATGTGAAGTATGAATTTTGTTATTATTTCAGATTTGAAAAGAAGTCAGAAGATTTGTTTGCAGATGATTGGATAAAATGCTTCAGGACATCTTATTTCCTAATCTTCACTTTAAGAAACTCATAACTATATAATTAAGTCAGTTAGAAAGATGCTGCTGGGTGTGGTGATGCATGCCTGTAATCCCAGTGGCTTGGGAGGCTGAGGCAGGAGGATCTCGAGTTCAAACCTAGCTTCAGCAATTTAGCAAGGCGCTAAGCAACTCAACCCTGTCTTTAAACAAAGTATAAAAAAGGGCTGTGGGAGCTGGGGTTGTGGCTCAGTGGTAGAGCATTTTCCTAGCCTGCATGAGGCACTGGGTTCAATCCTCAGCACCACATATAAAAAATTACATAAAGGTCCATCAACAACTAAAAATAATAATAATTTTAAAAGAGCTGGGGATGTGGCTTAGTGGTTGAGCGCCCCTGGTTTAAATCCTCAGTATCAACAACAGAAAACATTGATGCTGGTGCATGCCTATAATCCCAGTTACTGGGGAGACTGAAGAAGGAGGATCAAAAGTTGAAAGCCAGCCTCAGCAGCTTGGCAAGACTCTGTCTCAAAATAAGAATAAAAGAGGTTAGGGATGTATCTCAGTGGTGGTGTGCCCCTGGGTTCAATTCTAGTACTGCACAAAAGAAAAGAAAGAAAAAAAAAAAAGCTGGCTTCAGTGGCACATGCCTATAATCCCAGTGGTTTGGGAGGCTAAGGCAGGAGGGTCGTGAGTTCAAAGCCAGCTTCAGTAACTTGGTGAGGCCCTGATTAACTTGATAAGGTCTGTCTCAAAATAAAATATATAAAAAAGCCTGGGGATATGGCTCAGTGGTTCAATGTTTGTTTTACAAAAACATAATAAAAAAAAGAAAAATGGCTGATTTTTGGGTCTATTCTCAGAAATTCTGATTTTAATTGTTATAGGTTGTGGCCTAGGCTTTTGAACTCTCTAGATGATTATTTGAAGCTGACATTGAGAATCATCACTGGAGAAATTACAAGGCTAGCCATGCATAATAAGAGTGATGAGCACCTAGGCCCTGTTGAGTGTGGAGTGCTTGTGAGGGTGCAAATGTATAATATTAAAAAAAAGATAAATAAATAAAGTAGGGGAAAAAGAATGAATTCATGAAAGTGGAAAAAAAGAGGAGCCCTGTTAATAAAAAGGCAAAGTGGTAATCTACTGGTGGGCTCTAGTCCAAGAAGAGAAGATTCACTTAATGGAGGCTTCTGGATTAGCACAGAGGCTAAAGTATAGCCAGGACATGAATGAAGAATGGTCAAGGGATGCCTGTTTATAATGATCATTAAGCTAAAAAACAATAATTTTATATTTCATTATGTTGGAACTGCTTTAAGGAAGCAGGAGAATTATAATTTAAACCTGGGATAACAGAATGACTTTAGAGGGGCTGGCTCAAACCTCCAAACTGGCTTGATGTGTGCCCAGGACACAGGGCTCACCTCCAGCTGGTACAATACAGTCTGCAGGGCTGGTAGTTAAACCAAAGTGTAGGATTTTTTTTTTTTTTTGTACCAGGGATTGAACCCAGGGCTGCTAACCACTCAGCTATATCCCTAGCCCTTTTTAATATTTTATTTAGAAAAAGGGTCTCACTAAATCACTTAGTGCCTCACTAAGTTGCTTTGAACTCGTGATCCTCCTGCCTCAGCCTCCCAATCTGATGGGATTATAGGCGTGCACCAGTGCACCCATCTGTAGAATGCTTTTTGACAAATCTTAATGCTTGTATGAAAGCATCACAAAAAATATCAGTAAGAAAAAATGGCACATCACCTTATCTTGCCAACACCTCCTGCCTTGCACTGTTTGTACTCTGTGCAAGGGGATCCTGAAGAACATGACACAACCCAGTGAGGCCACCCAGCAGTAACTGGGGGCTGAGTGTCTGTCTAGATTCTTCAGTTTAAATGTGCAAAGTGTCATTCTAGAAAATCAGCCCTTGATCTTTCATAGAGCGCACATATTTATATTTATTTAAAAGGTTCCAGGATATAATTCTTTGGGTGAACCAGAAACCCAAAGCAAGAGACACCTGGTGAATAGTCAATATCTGGACTGCAAGAAACTAAATCTGAATACCTTTATCAGAGAGGCTCCACCCAGTTCAAGTGAACAAAAGATTCATGGTTTTCTCTTTCTCAAAGAGTTCACTTTTATTTGTGATCTTCTTTCAGCTGATAGGGGCTTTTGGTTACAAACTCTTATCCTTCTATCTACTGTCTGCCTCGCAGCTGTTTCAAGCTCCTATTGGCCACTGCCATTATCTGCACTTCAGTTTAGCCACAAGATCCCAGAGCCCTTACACAGATAACCCAACTGGAGACTGTTTTGCTTCTCCTTTCCTTTAGGTAAAACCCTGTGCAACAAAAGAGAAGTGATACTGTCCTGTCACTAAGGGGCTCCTGAAAAGGCAACAGTACCATCCCGTGCCACAAAGGGGCCCTTGTGGACCTGTTTATCTATAGGCTGCTGAAAACCTAGGAAGTCACTTTGTTTGACTGGATTAAAAAGCTTAAAATGATCTCAAGCACAGATTTTCTTTCATTAAAAAAAAAACATCAAAGGATGAAAGTATTATCTCCAAATCTCACATGTCCCCTTCTCTTGTGTCACCTCAGTAAAAGGCATTAAGCAAACTATATGTAGGGTTTAATTAAGGAATTCTTTATAAAAACTTTAAACTACAGTTTGCAATATTCATTTACCTCTTTTTAATGCATTTATCTCACACAGCATTCAAGAGCAGACAGCAGTATTTTGTTTGACAAATGAGGACCTCCAGTATAAGTAAAATCAGAGCATACATTACACATGTGTATATCAGAAATCATGCAATATATTGTAAACAATTACACATTCTGATGAGAGGAAGATTTTCTGACAAAATAGTTGTGGCATAGACTTGCCAAGTAATCACTGAAACAACTGATCACAACCCAGGTTCCAAAATGTCTCCCTGGCAAGAATATTCCTTTTGTGAATAACTTAATTTTATTTATTCAGTGGTTTGAACTTGGCATGTGGGGGTGGGGTTGGGAGGGAAAGTCCTGAAGCAAAAAGTGTGGATTCAGAGTTGGGGACACCAACGCTGCTACAGAGCATATTTGTATGTCTGTGTGTTCATGTGGTGTGTGAAGGTATGTATCGTGGGATTCTTTGTGAACATGTTTGTATGTCTGTGGGAAGTTATGGGGATGCTTTGGCAGTAGAGGAACTTTAGGATACACCCATAGATCTTAGTGTTTAGTGAGCATGTGAACAATTGTTGCTCTGATGGACTCTCACTCACAATTTTCTTAGATCTGACCATTAACTAGGGAACAAAGTAAAATTGTCAACTGTAGATGTCAATGCTCCTTCCCAAACCGATCTTGAACATTTTGCAATTGCAGTTATACGTACAGGGATTGGAGGCTTCGCAAATTCTGCAGAGCTTCCGTGGGCACCTGTCTTAGCTGATTGTTCTGCAGCATACTGTATATAAAACAAATAAAGAAAAATATTAAAGAAAGTTAATAATTAACATAATTGACCATAAGAGTGCTGTGCATTGTTTCAGGTGTCAGAAAAACAGCAGCACATCAGACAAATTCTATACTCTTTGGGAGCTTAAATTCCCATGGGGAGTGTGGATAATTAAAAGTAAACAAATGAACTGGGCGTGGTGGTGCACACCTGCAATCCCAGCAACAGGAGAGGTTGAGGTAGGAGGATGACAAGTTCGGGGTCAGCCTGGGCAAATGAGTGAGTTTAAAAATATAAAAAGGACTTAGGATGTGGCTCAGTGGCTAATAGGACCTGGGTTCAATCCCCAGGGCCAAAATAAATAAATAAAAATAAATAAAATTACACAAATGAATATATAACGTGAGATAAGAGGAAGTTCTTTAAATAGAAAGTAAAACATGGATTTAGGATAGATGGTAATGGGGTAAGATTTGTATTTGAAAGATAGTTTAAGAAAGGTATTTCTGAAGAGAGAATATATGAGTAGAGACCAGAGTGGAGTCGGGAGCACATCACGTGAACATCTGGAGAGAGTTACTGAGCAAGAGGGAAGCACCCTGCAGAGGTCCTGAGGCCAGAGCTTGCTTCACTTTAAGGGACTAGCAAAGGATCAATCCTGACTGAGGAGGGATGAGTGAAGGCATGAGGGTGGGAGAAAGAAACTGAGACCATCTCATGGAGGACCTTCAGGCCATGCATGATAAGATTTTATTTTAAGAGACCTGGTTGGAGGGTTTAATTAGGGAAGTGATGTGATCTGATTTGTTTTTTCTTTAAAAATTTTTTTTAAACACTTTTTAAATTGTTGATAGATCTTTATTTTATTTATTTATATGCAGTGCTGAGAATTGAACCCAGTGCCTCACACATGCCAGGCAAGTGCGCTACCGATGAGCCCCAGCCCCAGCCCCTGATTTGTGTTTTTAAAAGATCACTATGGGGGTTGCATAGACAAAAGAAAATGCAAACAAGAGTAGGAGACTACTTAAAGAACATCTTCCTTCTTGTGCATGGCCACATTTTGGTATAAACTGAATTCTTTTTGTGAAGTATTTGTGCCTTTGCTTTCCAAGGTTGAACAGATTTTTTTTTTTTTTCCCAGAACATGGAGACTACCATATGGAAACACCTGGCAACAATGAAATAAAAATACATCATTGCTAGTGGGAAAATAGCATGGAAAAAATCCCATTAGATTCCTTGTATTTTGCTACCTTTTTCATAAATGTTTATAACATAATAATCTTGCAGCACATTTTTTTTTCTTCAACATTTCATGGTCCATGTAAGCCTGAGGCAGAAGACTATTTTGGGAAAGCAGAAACTTTAAAGAAATATTTCAACTTATTAGGTCAGAAACTTATATTTGGATTTCAAAAACAATTTGCCTGGTCTCTCACCTCTACAATTGAAAGTTTATTTTCATGAAATGACTGACTGGGAGTCAACCCCAGGTATGTCTAACTCCGAAGCTTGATGTATTTCCCACTGCATTCTCTTGAGGAGTACTTGCTGGATGCACAATCTCAGGCCTATGGTGTATAGAATGGTTAAGTGCATGGGTTCCACCTTACTTTCTCTTTCTTACCATCAGCCCCATCACCTCAGGGAAATCATCCAATCTCTCCATGCCTCAGTGACCGGGGGAGAGACCCACCTAACATGTTTACTGTGAAGATTCAAGGAACGATAGTACATAGAACAATATCTGCTGCATGATAAGCATTCAATAAAGGCTGGCAATTTTTTATATACTTTAATAAACCTTTCCTTAAAATGAATGACATAGTGGGATTGTACTGGATGTGACAATTTAATCAGGTCAGACAAAAATAAAACTATTATAGTGGCTCTCAAACCCTAGGGTTCACTCACTAGAAGTCTTGTTAAAACAGATTGCTGGGCCCCACCCCCACAATTCCTGGTTAGGTGGTCTAGGTAGGGGTCAGAGAATTTGAAATTCTAACAAGCTCCCATGCATCAAAGGACTCAATATGGAGGAGTCAAGGTTTTGAAAGGGTACCCAAGTGTCGGGCAGTAATGCTTTCTTTTTGAGCCAGTCATCTTTCTGCCCTTAGCAAAAGGAGGGGGGAATCCCCAAGCCCCACTAACCTAACTTTTCTCCTTGGAAATTTCTGGTACTGCTGAGCAGGACACCACACTGATAACCACCTGTGCTATGCTATTTCTAATAGAATACTTCACCTGAACTTGAGGCTATACTGGGCTTGGAGATATGCCCTATGTTTTGAGTCTTGGGCTATTAAATCCATTTAACCCCTCTGACCTTAGTCTGTATAATGTGAATGATATCTTCTAATCGAAAAGGTGTTTGAGGATTAAAATATGAAAGAATTTATAAAACTACTTATAAAACTTTCATATATACAAATATTTGCTCATGTACTCATAAGACAGGAAACATAGGAGATCATAAAATTTATGCTTTTCTTACTATGCCTGAGATTCTGTTTTCTAAGGAACACAATTGTTATTTATGTTCTACTAAACTCATTTCGTTATGTTAAACTTGGATTCAGCTAAAATTTCTTAAATCAATAGTTTCAAATATATTGGTTCATTAAGAATAAAGCCGAAATTTAGGGAGAGATCATACTTCTGTAGTTAGGGAATTAGGAGAATTGTAACTCCATATTTTGCATAATTTAACTGAATGCCAAAAGTTTAGATTTCTATGTTATTTTGCACTTTCACAAGAACTTTCAACTCATTATATAATTTTCATTTTACAAAAACATTTTCTAAGTTACTCATTAGTTTCATGATCGATTTAAATGATATATTACATATGATAGGTTTAATTGATGTCTGTACTTTGTAGGTATTATATTACTGATATAAGTATGCATTGAATTGTCCTTTTATGCTTTGCTAACAAAACAGTGAAACTTTTAAAATGTGGCTTTTCTAAAATATCTAGAAAACTGGAGTAGAGGATAAGACAGGTTTCCTTAATTGAATAGTTGTAAATTTTCTTGGTTGCTTTATATATTTGCCTTCAGAAAATGGGACTTAAATGAGGATTAGTAATGATAACTTTAAAAGTTACCCCAAGCTATCTCCTAGTGATTATTTTTTCAACTACAGCTCCCAGTAAAACACCAAAAATATAACTTTAAAAAAATCAACGAAGCCCTGATCTTTCCCTAAATAAAGAACTTCTGTTTAATTACTTTCAAATGACAAAACAAGAGCAAGTTATCTTTATTATATCCTTATAAGTCTCCAGTGAGTTAATTAGAAAATTATGTTTTTGTTTAAGATATTTCAGTGGGAGAGAAAACAATTAAAGAGTTTATAGCACTACAGAGTGCAATTAAAACAAAAAGCATTTACATGGTAGCTGATTTCTTTTGCAAATACCCTTTACTGAATATGTGGGATAGAAGCATAATGTAGCATGTCCTGAAAATGGTGTAGGCTATAATTTTATTTTTATCATTCACATATGGGTAGGAAAAGAAGATGAAACACTTTTTTCTATAGACAAAGGATGACTTCATAATTTCTTAATTTCTTTCCTGAGGATCTTTAAAATATTCAAAATTTTATACAGCTTCCTCATGCATCTATAACTATATATTTTTTATTTTTGTCAACAGAAAAAACAACTGGTACAGTGAAGCAGAGGAAGAGTAAACAGCCTGTTGCATAGAGCTAGTGACAATCAGTGGCCTGATTCTTAGGTATTCCCTCTGCTTAATTGTCCTTTGTGTAGATATCAAGTAACCATCAAAGCTCTATTCTGGGTCTACATGGGATTGAACGAACTCTTTCCTATAGTTACTTTTATCCATCACTTCTATGTGGCCTTGGTTTTGGTGCTGAGTGGCAGCAGGGTGAGCCATTCCTTGATTGAATGGCTTATACCAAAAATAAACCTTTTTTGAGGATAACCTGCTTCAGAATTCCATTGTATGATGTATTTTGCAATACAGAACCAATGGCTAATTTTTATTAGGCCAATATTAACAGGGATAATAGTCTTAAAAATTATTGATCTTTTAAATGTCACAGTGATAAGATTTTATATATAAAATACTTCTAGCCAACGATGCTTTTGCTATCTTTATTCTCCATCTTTAATAGACTGGATGACTATACCTTTTTATTATTTTACCATACACTCTTACTCAGGTCAGGGCCCCAAATAAATATTACTTTCATATGATCTTTCTCCTCATGCTATAATTTATTTCTGTCTCCTACCAGTGACTTTGGAACTTTATAAAACATTTGAGAGAGCTTCCATGAGGATAGGGACAGATCTATTTCGTTTAGTATTTTATCTCCAGCATTGTTTCTTAACCCTATAGGATCTAATGTTCCTTTTCATAAAAAACCTTTTATATGTAAGTGAAATTCATAAAATATAGCCTATCTATGCACATAATTTCAAAAAATCAATATAATGCACTACCCTAACTGCATTACAAAAGAGAAATACAAAAAAATAATTTGTAGTGTAATGACTTATGTATCACTGTACACATGATGCTCGCATGTGACTATCCTAGAAGACAATTTTATGAACGAGTCAGATGCTTGCTTCTACTTTTAATGAATAAGGTCGGTGTGAGCAAAATAACATGATCAGAAGCCATTCTGTGCAAGAAAAGGAATATGTAGTGGACATCTAAATGGAAACCAGAATAAAAACTACTTAAGATATATAATAACGACCATTCTCACATATTATAAGGGAAAGAAGAAAATAACCTTTATTGAAATAAAGAGAACACGACAAGGCAAATTACACAGGTTGGAGTACAGAACATGAATAAGTGACACAAACAGGGAAGGGGTCTCACAAATGAGTGTTTCTTATAGAAAAGAGTATTGTCAAAATACTTTCCTTTTAGGACAAGACAGTGTTGAAATACCACAGAGAACATTTATCCTGTCTGAGAGTTGATAACATGCTGAGGCAAGCATTCATTTGCCAG